TGCCAAAAGCATAAACATACAAGACATACAGAAAATTGAAGGTAAAATCATTTCAAAAACAAGTTTTTCATTTATTTTGATTTATTTTATATTACGTTTTTCAATATAATATAAATATTATATTTAATAATAATGCTATTATAGTTATAATGTAATAAATTACAAACCTTACCGAAGATAGAAGTTAAAACAATTTATTTATTTATTTTAGATTTATTTTAATTTTATATGGTTTTATTCAATATAATATACATATTACATTAAATAATAATAATAATAATAATAATGCTATCATAATTATAATGTAATAAATTAAAATAATAATTTTACTATTATTCTTTCACAATCTTAGATTTATTTTAATTTTATATGGTTTTATTCAATATAATATATATATTACATTAAATAATAATAATAATAATAATAATAATGCTATCATAATTATAATGTAATAAATTAAAATAATAATTTTACTATTATTCTTTCACAATCTTAGATTTATTTTAATAACTACAAGAAAATACAAAAATGCATAAATAAATAAATAAACATCTTGAACTTTCAAAAGTACATTATTATTTAGATTTGTTTTTTAAATAATTTTTTTAATAAAATACATTTTATTATATATATAAAAATTTTATAAAATAATTCATATTTATTACTATTAACTCACAATCTTGTATTATTTTAGAATATAAAAAACATACAAACACTTTAAGGTAAAACAATTCCAAAAACAAGTCCATTATTATTTATTTATTTTTATTAAGTGTTTTTATTCAATACTCCTACACGAAAAATAAATAAATACATAAATAAATAACCTATTATTCTCTCACAATCTTGGATGGATTTTAATAAGTATAAAAGCATACATAAATTTGAAAATAAAACAAGTCCATTATTGTTAAATTATCATCATCATCATTATTATAAAATAAAATATATTCAGTAACTATTATTCTCTTGTAGCTTGGATTTAGTTTAGAAATGCATGAAATATCAATACCAAATCAATTATTGAGATATTGGAGATTTATTAGAGATTAAAGAACATATCTCTGATGTCTTCAAAATGCAGTCTAGGAAAGGCGACTTGCTGGATTTTAGAAACGCACTTGTCAGATCGCACCTGATTAAGACACTGTTTCTCTGTCCAATAATGACTTCATGAAACCCATAACTAACACGACTATGACTAATGAATTTCACACAGCGATCACATTCCCTCTCACCGCTTTACAGAAGCCAAAAGTTAAAAGCACAAAGGGGTAAAAAGGCCATAAAAATGAAGGAAAGCTTGTGGTATGAGACGGTTAAATGGGCTTTTAGGGACTTCAGCTGAGTTATGAGTATTCGATCAGACCAGAATCCCTTCATATTGAGTTTATGGTCATATCTTCATATCTTATGTAAGTATTAGCTTTCATAGACAGGGCTTGGGCACAGATATTTGCAGGTGCCTGTGCTGTGAAAACAGTGTGTGTGTGTGTGTTTGTGTGTGTGTAATGTAAGCTGAGGTAAGAATGGCCCGCAGCGGTGAGCGCATGAGCTTGTGTAATGCTGATGAGTGTGTGTGTGTGTGTGTGTGTGTGTGTGTATGTTTTCACTGGGCTCCTGCGGCTTTATACTCTTATTAAACTGTGGGAAACTGCCATCTCTTCCCAGCCTGCAGCCACAGAAACATGAGAACACACACATCATGGACAGGAACACGGCTGAAGAGCTGCAGACACGTTCACACACGCCGAAAAGTGGAAGTTCAGACTCTTCAAAGAGGATACATAATTAATAACCGCGAGATAAGCGATGACAGACAGCAGGAAGAGTGAGTGTGCACAATTTCAATGAGCCTAACCTTATTAAACAGGCAGATTTGAGTTTATATATTGAACAAGTTTTTTTATATATATTATATATATTTTTAAACATTAATAATTGCACAAACATGGCTGAGACCCTGCATGTAGTTTTTATAAATGGAATAAATAACTTAATAACACTGATTGAGCCATATGTTAAATAAGTTGAAGCTGCAATCCATCATTTTTTTTGGTTAAAAATGATCCGAAATCAATATTTGAGCAAGTACATAACCAGCCAGTGTTCAAAACTATCGCCTTACTTTAGCCCGATTCACAACGGTTAGCTTATAATAATGTTTTCTAATTTGAGTGGTACTGGTAGGTTTTCGCGGGAAATTCGAACATGGCACTGCGTCATTACGTCACATCTGTAAACATAATGAAGTTGTCCCGGCTACTAGGCTATCGCATGTGAGGATCCTGCAGGTGGCCGATCATTTATAGCCTTTTCTCACAGCAGCTAGAATAATCAACTGTATCATTTTGATAGCGGATTGTAATCCAGAATGGATTATGTGTTTATGAAGCACATCTGAATGAAATTAAATTATATTCCCGTTATAAATGTGCTTCTGATTACAGATAGCCTGAAATTACAAAGATTTGTATTTTAAGGAAAACATGTTCGAAGGGAGCATAATTTGCTTTTTGGATTAAAATGATTTCTTAATATGAAATTCGCAGAGTATGACACTTAGATTAGACTGTGTAGAAATTGAAATCTACATGCTAATACACACTATACTCATAGTCACGCAATGCTGATGTTGTTAACATTAATCAATTGAGAATAAAGTATAACAATAATAATAATTTGAATGGTTTGATGTGATATGAGCTAACTGATCTTTAGATATAATCACCATTGGTAGCGAGATTTATTGTAATGCTTATTTGCTCAGTTGGTCAGAACAAACGTGGCAGACTTGTTATTTACTTGTTCAGATGGCAATATATGGTGAAAATTCTTATTTGGGTCATATATTCCAAGACGTAGGCTAGAATCTGTGATTGCGAAGTACAGTAAATATCCACACCGGTGCGGTGACTGACTGCCACACATACTCTTCAGAACATTAGATTCATCCGTGCTGGAGCCGAGCCGACTCATAACCCACGCAAGCTAGATAATTCCGCACACAGCTGTAATTCCAGGTTTTCAAACAGAGATGTCGACAAAGAGGCAAAACTTATGGACTGCAGCTTTAAATAAGTTATATAATAATAATAATAATAATATTTTATAGCTTATATATAGTATAATTTTCACTTAGGGGTGTACTCCCTTTTGTGGCCAGCGGTTTAGACATTAATGTCTGTGTGTGGAGTTATTTTGAGAGGACAGCAAATTTACACTGTTATACAAGCTGTACACTCACTACTTTACATTGTGGCAAAGTGTCATTTCTTCAGTGTTGTCACATGAAAAGATATAATAAAATATTTACAAAAATGTGAGGGGTGTACTCACTTCTGTGAGATACTGTATATATATACTGTATATTAGGGGTGTAACGGTACACAAACATGACGGTTCGGTACGTGTTTTACTGAAAACATTGCTCTTTCTTTAAATAAATTCAATTAGAATAAAAAAAAAAAAATCTTTAAATCTACATCATAAAATAAAAAAAAAATCTAAAAAAATCTACCTCTGCTCTAAACTATAGGGAGCCCTTTTACATTAGGCCTACTATAAGGTTACACTTAACAATAGAGCCAAATTAAATTGAATTACTATTTATTTTAACTATAATAATCAACACTCAAATTAAAAAATTGTGTGCAAACATGTAAATTGCACTCAATGCAGTTTTTAAATTAACTTCTAAATTATACACTTTCTATTTGTTGTTGAAATATAATCATTTAGCATACACAGTGACTGTCATTACTTGTTTCATAAAATATTTATTTAAATATAGCCTAAATAATTAAGACATCACTGAAAGGTAGCCTAAAGTAAAATATAATGAGTACATAGTCTAATATTTTGCGAAATGCGGAAAATCTCTACACTTAATTTCTCTGGTGAACTAACGAGCTGTGGACACTGATGACTTGCCTGAGGTAAATTAAATGCTGCGTGACATTTTGTTTACAAGTCGTTTTAATCAAATCCTTCTGCGAGTGAAACACTGATAGTGCGATTACATGTGGCATAAGATGTTAATTCATGTTTATTTCACATTAAAACTAGTAGTAAAGAGGAAGAGATGATCGTGCTCACTCGCGCTCCGTGCTGCCGTCAGAACTGAAGCGTTTATACAGCGATCTGTCGCGCCACATTAAAGAGCGCCAAAATGGCATTTATTGTCTGAAAAATGTTATGATTTGTTCGGTACACGTGCGTACCGAACCAAAAGACCAAAAGAAAATTTTCGGTACGAATAAGTGTACACCCCTAATATATATATATATATATATATATATACAGTGGGTACGGAAAGTATTCAGACCCCCTTAAATTTTTCACTCTTTG